GTTATGCCATAGCCAGTCCAGACAGCAGTTCTTCAGATGTGTTCCATGCTGCAGCCTTATTAGCCTTGAGTTCTGATCATTAGGACATTTGCTGCTGGTTATATAAATAACATAATGAATATTAATCAAAATGCAGATTAGGTTCAATCACATGCATCAAACCACCTATGGGCACTATACGCAGCACAAACTGTGGATTGGCTGGAGCAGGCACTGTGTGTGACATGTCCTGGACCAGCTGGGGCAGGGAAGGGGATGCTGTACCACCCATAATGTGGATCCTGGGGTGAGTGCTATGTAGTCTGTGCTGGGCCCCGCATGGGGCTGGTGATCCGATGTGCACTGCATGGGTCAGCTCAGACCCAGCAGCACCACCAGGGGTTGGCTGACAGGACTGTATGGGGTGCACCTGGCCCATGGGCCATATATTTGACACCCCTGCTTTAAGCAGCTCTTGATTTTGAATTGGCAATGAAAAAATGCTAATTTTCTTTACTTTGCACTGTTGCACTCTGTCAGGAAGTCCATCAGTACTAATTCTAACTTCATTTTAGTTAGAGGATTAGCTTGGTTCAGCATTAAGCAAAGATCCTACCTTTCACCTCATCCTTCATGAGCCGGTCAGAAAAGAGGTCTGAGCTGGTTATAGGGCCTGTATTAAGCCATGCACGTATGACTCTGACAATAGAGGTCACTTTGTTCCTCAGGACAAATAGTGAACATACACCTTGAAATGGCTTCAAAATCCATCAGACTTGTCTGCCTTTGAAGAATCAAGATATTAGGAAAACTCGTGAGAAAAAGACCTGACTTTTGGATTCTGAGGCATTAGAATGACAGGGGGCCTGGCATGTAGCTTCCTCTGTGGTACTAATAGGATATAATTTCATACTGTTTGGAGCAGGCTATGGAGCTGGACTGACATCTTTTAAGGTGCCTTTGGGTTAGTTTAGTGCAGATGAAATCTGTCAGACAGGAGCTCAGCTCTCTGACACCTACAGCAGAGTATGATGCTGCACAGATGCGAGGCAAAATGTGGGACAAAGATGCACAGGGCCAGAACATGCGAGACCCTTGCTCAGCCAGGCCAAGATGGAAGGCTGCAGAAGAATCCTCCCATAAAACAGTCTGAGAAGAAGTGAGGGATCTTCTTCCTCACCCTGCAAGGGTATGATAGAGCATAGGCCCCGCACCTTCTCTGCCCAGTGGGGTTGAGACACTGAATAGGACAGGTTGCACATGTACATGAAGGAGCTCCAGACAGTTTGTGCCTGCCCACGGGCTTGAGATGACCTGTCCAGGACACCTCCCAAAATATCCTAAGCATCCCTGCTCAGGGTTTCAGCCATGAAGTCACCATCTATCGCAAATGCAGGGCAGAAGAGAAAGAGGAGCAAAGCTACACAAGCCAAGTGCATTTCTGTCACTGTAAATACTGGTCCAATTTTTTAATGTCTTGGTGCAGTGTTTATGCTTGTGTTCATTTTACAAGGCCACATCATGAAGTCTTTTCTCAAGTCTCCCTTGGCTTCAAAGAAAGCTTTGCCTGAATAAAAACTGAAGAAAAAAAGACTTCGGATTTGGTCCTCGATTTGCCAAATTTTGAACGAATAGTAAGCCGCTGGACAGCTCCCAGACTAAGAATTGATGGTCCTATCATGCGTTCCTGGAAGGGTCATTTCCTGTAGGACTTGCAAGTGAAATCCTAGGATCCCATACAACACTGTGGATTAGATCAGGGACCTTCTAAGGTCAACCTTTAGCACCTTCAAAACTGTTAAGAAATGACAGCCATGTTATATATCATTAGAAAAGTGATTCTCCTCAGTTTGTTCATAAGGTCTTGAGGCTGACCTTTTACTCTGTCACAAGGCACAAATGATTTCAAAACAAATGCACATCTCAGGATTTTTAGGGCCCCCAAAATGTTTTTATCTTGTAAGGTGACACACGTATCAACAGAAGAACTTGACAATTTAAAAAAAATATGAGTGGTTGCAAACTTGGCTGCCTTGAAGTTGCCTTTTGACTTTTTCTTTAAGTGCTTAAACAAGAGACCTGTTGAGTATCCACAGTTCCAGCTCATCTTAATCAGAGTGGTAGGTGCTCAACACATTTGGAAATCAGGCCAACAACATGGTACCCAAATATGAACGTAAGTGCCTGACACTGAGATGTGAACATACTGATCTTAATTTGGGGGTCAGAAACTGTCTTTTTTAAAATGTTTCTATAGCACTTGTGACAATGGGCCCAAATCTGAGTGGAGTTTCTAACTACTGCAATGTAATTGCATACTGTAAATGTATCTGTCCTTAGATATGGAGATTCACTAGAGTATAATAAAAGCAAGAAAGCACAAGGTTTTCTATGGTTAAACACATATAAATGCACATGTAGGGGGACTCTATAAGATCCTTTCAAGGGTGCCATGGGTTGCTATTCAATGTTAGCACTGTTAGGTGTGCAAATGTGGTTTACAAAATAAATCCAGAGAATTCCAATAGAAATCCATAGTGTTAAAAACATTCTGACCATTTGTGGTCTTTCAGAGTTCTTTGCAACAGAAGAATTGCTCTTTTATTTTTCTGTAGTCAAAAAAAAAGAGTGAAAACGAAGAGGTGGAATTTTCCAAGGAGTGCCTTGAGTCTTTTGAAGAGTGCCTCAGGTCTTTCAAGGGATACTTCAAGTCTAAAACGGCTGAGAACCATTGGGTTAGACAGGTACTTGAATAAGACTATTTAGTCAGGGATGATCCTTCCATGGACTGGATGACCTGAAAGCAGAGCTGCGCTTCTAAAAGATATCAGGGCTAGTTCCACCCATAATTAGAGGCACATTTTCAAAAGATACCAGCTCCCAACAGACACTTAAAATAAGGGCCAAATTCACTGAGAAATTCCCACTGGGACACTGAGCTCAAATTCTTAAGAAGGTTTATTACTCCACCTGCAGAGCTTGCTTGACAATATGTATGTAACCTTCGGGGGCTGAGAGTACTAAAAGCTGCTAACAGGCGTGGGCAGGTAGCTGTCTCCATCATGGTGTAGGCTATGAGAAGTTTATCTTGCCTTCCCTATCTTTCATGCTGAGAATGGTCTGAGAAATTCTTGGTTCTGTTTCGCTTGCCCGTATTTCAGATCCAGTGAAGCTCCGATCCTTCCGCTGCGATGGCCATGCCTGCAATCCTCCTGTGGGGGATCTAGCAACAGGCAGGACTCCAGTCACTCTTACCACGTGTGGGCAGAACAGCACCGAACTTTACTGCTTCTACCCAGACCAGAATCTCCTCCATCAGGCTTCCCAAGGCTGCGGGCAGCCGAGATGCACGAAATGCAATGCCAATCAGCCCGACAATTCCCACCTTCCTGCTGATATGACAGACGATTTCTTTCTGAACCCTGTCTCCTGGTGGCAATCTGCACAAGGAGTTCACAGGGAGGAAATTAGGCTGGACTTCGAAACGGAGGTCTACCTGACCCACGTCATAGTAGTGTTCAAGTCGCCTCGCCCGGCCGCGATGGTGCTGGAAAGGTCCCAGGACTATGGTCAGACTTGGAGGCCCTATAAATATTTTTCCGTCAACTGTACAGCCACTTTTGGGCTCCAAGATGACATCATTGAAGAGGGCTCGATGTGCACTTCCAGGTATTCAGACGCAGTTCCTTGCACCAGAGGTGAGGTAAGTGGTAACAGGTTTGGACAGTCAAAAAGTTACTTAAAACTGGGAACTAAGAGTTCAGATACATAAATAAATAATAAATAAACATGACAGGGAAACCGTGTTGTATTTAAGTCAAATGTTCTTGACTGTGTTCTGTATAGCTACTCCTTTTGTACCTGTCAAAATGGTATGTAGGCATGTCTAGGCATTTTCTAGCACCTTCTGATCCAGTATCTTGAAATACATTCCACAATCCAACAAGCTGCACTTCTCTGTAAGTCTTGCTATGACCATTTTACAGCTGGAGAAACTGAGGTACAGAAACATGAGGCGGTTTGCTTGTAGTCACACAGGAAGATTTTGGTGGAGTTAGGAACAAAATCCAGGTTTCCTGATCATAGGCTTCTGCCTTAACCACAAAACCATACTTCCTTCCCCAGTATAAAAACCTTTGCCTCTGTAGCATATTGGGTTATGCTTATGTTTTTTTTAACCTTGGGGAATATCATTAAGAACATGTGTTGCTGATTAAATAAATCTGGGACGTGGATGACAGAAAATCAAAAAAATAAAACATTCACTCAATACAAGCCTCTGCAGTTATAAATGTTGAAACAATTCTGTCAATTCGTACAGAAAATAAATTTGTTAGTATACAGTTCAGTGATATATAGTATGACAGTACATGCTAGAAGTAATATAATTAAGAATGATATGCTTATAGATCAGACCTTTGAGTAAACCAAGTAGTTTTATACAATGATAAACAACCTAAACACCTACACTCTCTCCCAGCACTGAAGTACGGCCATCTCTGGGATGCAGAGCTGCAGCAGACAGCGATGGCATGCAGCAGCTTAGCAGAGAACAGTAACAATACTTTTCTGCAGCACTCTTAATCTCAAAGGAGCTTGGCATTCTGGACAGATTGACAGAGACCACTTAATATTTCAGTGACATGTAGTTATGGATGGGGTGCAAACACATGAACAATTTTGGACCAGCAATTCACAACACCACTGATTTTAGTTCCAGTGAACTATAGGGAAGCAGCAGGTAGTTACCTAAAAAGTGAACTTTGAGCAGAATGCTTGAGCTAACGCTATGGGGTCTTACTGGATCGGAAACTCCATTTTACATCTTATTCCAAAAACGCCACCTACATTGATTGGCAAGGTATCTTCTGGGGCACAGATGCTATATTGATCCAGAAGGGAGCACATCGCCTACAGAATC